CTTCTACAAGCAAATGATAGAATAGATCTCCATCCTCAGTAAGCGTATGCCTTGATCCTTCAATTAGGGACGACATGCACCTGAGGACACAAAACTGGGGATATTGTGAAGCAACTCTCAACTGGGTAACATACATCCAAAGAAATGATAGATGTTTAATAAACTACACATACCTTCTGAAGACCATTTATTCTTAGATTCAGCAAAATCTCGGACCATTCACCAATGCTCCCTCACATGCACCTCTCCTCTGATTCGAACAACCATAAGAATCATGAACCGCCTTTGATTGTTAGTTTTTTGTAGAGGCATTAGGTGCATGGCTTGGCAAAATTAGACGCATCAAATTAGTGCAAAACCGAGTTCTCAGCTCCTGGAGAAAAAGAGGTCTCTAAACCAATTCTAACAAGCCTTGCGTTCCATCAAAATTGAATATTTTGACAGTTCCTAAGGCCAATAAGAAGCAAAAGTGGATAGGAAGAAACTTCTTTTCTTCTTTGTTCTGAAGCAAAATTAGCAATAAGATGAATGAAAGAGTGCAATACACTGATCTCTATATAATAAGAAATTAAACTTCAATAAAAGAAGAAATTGCTTGCAATTATGTCATTATGCTGCAAAACATCACTCTAACTTTCCTAGTAGAGTTTTAAAGACATTTTGGTTTGTAACTTAACTATCAGTTAATATAAAGCAAATATATAATAGAAGTATGGTGCATATTACTTGCTGTTGCTTTAAACAGAGGGTAAGAAATTCACCCCAGATTAATCAAGAACGTATGGCATATATTCCTTTCTTCAATCCTCAATCTGTATCTTCCTTATCCACCGTTGTCTCGAAAAGGGCACTAGAGAGACATAAAATATGATCAGATGGACAAGAAGGTATTGAAATGATAGGTGTACTAAAATATTGATTCAGCCAAATATTAAGATCATAAAACAAATGTAAAGAATTAGATTATTTTTTGGCTCAAGATCGTTGGGATCAAGGGATTCAACCGGATCTTAAGATCATAAAACGAATGTAACTGTTCAACCACCAGCCTACTTTAGATAAATAAATAAAATATGGTATGAAGGCATCGCATTGAGAAATATAGATTTAACATACCTCCGAAAAATCAAGATCTTCGGGATTGCACCATCTGCCCATTGATTCTGATCCTATGAGTGTGGCAAATGGATAACCATTTGTGGCTGCCTTCTTGAGCGTACCCCATTAATTTGGGACAATTGTTTATATCAAGGGATGTTAAGTTCAATAGCCTGATTGGGATAGCCTGCAAGTTCGGACATGATTGTATGCCTAGTTTAGAGAGATTCGGAGATGCAGATCCATCTTCCCACCATGTTTTGAGCTTTGGACAATCCCAAATATGCAACTCCTCAAGGCAAGGAAACACAGCCATGTCTTGTGCTTCTGTCCATTTCCCCAGCTTTGTCATGTTGCTTAAAGTAAGCTTTCTCAAAGCTGGAAATGGTGAAATTGCTCCTCTGCCTCGGCTGTTGCTTAAAGTAAGCTTTCTCAAAGCTGAAAATCGTGAAATTGCTCCTCTGCCTTGGCTGTTGCTTGTGCAAAATGTTTTGCGCTCTGGACAATCCCGAACATGCAACTCCTCAAGGCAAGGAAACAAGACCATGCCTTGTGCTCCTGTCCATTTCTCTAGCTTTGTCATGTTGCTTAAAGTAAGTTTTCTCAAAGCTGGAAATGGTAAGATTGATTCTCCTTCACCTTGGCTGCTGCTTGCCCACCATGTTTTGAGCTCTGGACAATCCCAAATATGCAACTCCTCAAGGTCATGAAACACAACCATGCCTTCTGCTTCTGTCCATTTCTCCAGCTTTGTCATGTTGCTCAAAGTAAGCTTTCTCAAAGCTGAAAATGGTGTAATTGAAGATCCTCTGCCTTGGCTGTTGCTTATGCACAATGTTTTGAGCTCTGGACAATCCTGAACATGCAACTCCTCAAGGCGAGGAAACACAACCATGCCTTGTGCTTCTGTCCATTTCTCCAGCTTTGTCATGTTGCTTAAAGTAAGTTTTCTCAAAGCTGGAAATGGTAGGATTGATTCTCCTTC